GGCCCCGGGGGGGGAGGGGCGGAGCCCCGCGGGGCGGAGCCTGTCTCTAAGCCGGCCTCCTGTCAGAGGGTCCAGACCACTAGATCCGCAGAGGCCGGGGGCTGGAGAGGCCACCAGGAAAGGCAGCCAGTGGCCCCTGCAGCTGCCATATGATGCTGGGCCCCTTGCAGGCTGGCTGGGGACACAGGACCCCTCCCTCGAGGGCTCAGCAGACCCTGCCCTCTCCCAGGTCCTGTGGCCATGGCTCTGACAGAATCAGCCGTGGGGCCCGAGCCCACCTGGGGGAAGTCCCAGCTGCGGCTGAGCATGGAGTGGAGCCCAGACATACTGTACCCGAGGCCTGGCTCTCCTGCAGAGGTAAGGCCAGATGGCTGGATGGCGGCGTCTAGGGGGAACACAGCGCACACAGGCCTAGAGTGAGGCCGTGCACGTAGCGTCCTGGAGCAGCCTGCCTGGGTGACGGTGGCCGTCTGTGTTACCGAAAGCCCCAGGGCTGGCTCCTCCCCCAACCCACGACCTTTCCCCGCAAGGACCCGGCACTGTTCTGTCTGCTGGGTGAGAACCTCAGGGTGTGTGCCCTGCCATTCTCAGCCCCTACTGCCCTGAGTGCTACTGGTACTCCTTCCAGAACCTTCTGCCCAGCTCCTCACAGAGCACCCGCTGCACCTCCTCCCCAGCCTGTGCCCCCCAGCCCTGCAGCCAGGCTCAATCCAGGTGCTGCAACAACCTGCCCAGCAGTTGGTGGCTACTGGGACAGGTTTCTGACCCCGTCCTGGGGCGGGGAGCAGCTGGGGCAGCCACACCCCAGAGAGAGGCACAGCGGATGCCACACCACCAGAGTGCTGTGGGCAGGACAGTGCCTTCAAATGCATGTTCATTCTGGTGACAGAGACCGGAGGCTCACGATGCAGGGGCGTGTGGCCAGGGAGGCAGAGCCTTCCCTTCCACGGCCTCGGTGCAAAGGCCTTCGTCCCCTCCCCCCGTCACTTGCTCTAGATCAGCCCTTCTCAGCCCGCCTGTGCCGAGGGCCTGGGCATTTACACCCCCAAACACACACACCAGCGAGGACCCGTGCCTTTAACACGCAGAGATAAGTTGCTGCAAATGAAAATGTCAGTAGGACGTCACAGCAGCCGTAAGCACTGTGAGGTCTTTTAAACACTCCCTGTCTACACACGCGGTTCTGTAGCCCCGTGAACATTTCTCACACCAGGCAGCCCCGACACTGGCTGAGGGGGAGGCTGCCGTGGACAAACAGAGCCACAGGGGAGTCCTCTCTGTGCACGGTCCCCACCCTGCACTTGTCCGGAGCTGTAGCCCGCCCAGCCCTGCCCAGCCGCCCCGGGTGGGATGTGCCTCGGGCCAGCCCCCTCACCATTCCATGCCGGCCCTGTTGATGTCCTCCCACCAGCACTCCGTGGGCTCCCCGAGGCTCTGGGCTGTGGGCATGCAGGCGTAGTTCCACTGCCTGTCGGAACCCTCCTTCTTGTTGAAGATGCTCCTCACGGCCACCACCACCTGGCCGTGGGGACACTGGTAGCTGAAGCCCTGCCGGTTCAGGTTCACCCAGCCGTCGTCGCTGTAGTCATGGTACTGCTGGTATGGGTAGCCGTAGTCGCCATACTGGCCCCAGGCCACGGCGACCAGGGGCAGGAGCGCCCACAGGAGAGCGAGGCCCATGCTGCCTGGGCTCCCAGCAAAGACTGTCGCCCGGGGCTTGCCAGACCGACTGCTTTATACAGTGCTGTTGACATGTGGCTTCCAGATGTGGAGGAGCGGGTCCAACTGCAGTGTGTCATCGCCTAAGTGAAACTTTTCCGCGCCGAGAAGTTGGCCATCAGCACTGTCAGCCTGTTTTAAGGTGGAATTCTAGGAGACTGGGAGACACGTGTGAGATGTAGGGCGGCTGGGCGGCACGGCCTTGCAGGGGGTTCAGACAGCCGGCTGCTCCATTGCCCTTAGGAACATCCACCTGAGGACGCGGTCAGCAGCGTGTCTGTCCCCCCCTCCCCCACCCCCCGGCTCAGCACCACCCTCCTTATGCCCCTCACGGCGAATCCCTGCATTTGTCCTGGAAGTCAGCCTTCTAGGAGCAGGAGGGTGCCAGAGTGATCTGAAAACACCGCAACAACAGGAGGAAGAAACAGAGTCATTCAGATCCTGTAAGCATGGGTGTCAGGTTCAAGTCCTCGGCCCACCGTAGTTTAGTCCTGGAGTATCAGCACGGGCGTGCCCCTTTGCAGGGCTGCTCTGAGTCCTAAATTGCATGTGGAACTACTATAGGCCCACGGGCATCAACCAAGCTAAATCGGGCATTAACTCCACACTCAAACAGCTCCTGAGCTGCGGAAATCAGACCTAGTCACACCTCAAAACTCTTTCTACTCAACATGTAATGGTTTAACCAGAATAAACCCCCTTTGGATCCTTCATTGTTTTTCTCCTTCACGTTGAGTTTTCTTTTCATTGAGGTGCAATTTGCATGGAATAAAGTTTACTTTTAAAGTGTTTGGGGGCGTGCACACATGCACGCACATGCCCTGTCCATGTCATCTGCTCTGACAACCGTGGTTACTCTGCCGAGAGGAAGGGGTTCTGGGTCACACAACCAGATCAGTCTCAGTTCTGGTTCTGGCAACATCTTCTCCTCAACTTCTATCCCCGAGAAACTGCCCAGTGTTGGAGTGGCCCCTCAGTTTATCATACATTGGTGCATTTGTTCTCAGCCTCATCAGCACTTCAGAGTTGCCTGGAAGGCTTTCGAGCACTGCCAGTTACTGAGCACTTCCTAGACTAGGGACCAGAAGCTCTGAGTCAGCCAACCACAGCAGCCTCCCAACCCTCCCGTAGGACCCTCCTGCACCACCAGTGTGGACAACCACCACCATGAAGGATTTCCATTCATCACCCATGTCCTGCATCTGGGTGTGACTAATGTGTGATCTCAAACCTTACGGAGCTACAAGAGCCCAAGCATTTTAAGTATTACAAGCATTCATTTTTATTATACATCTATTTTCCAGCAACTTCCAAGGCCTGCCCAGTTCCCATTCTCTGCAGACAGCTGGAGCTGCTGTGGCTGGATTCCCTGCCTTGTGCAAATTAGACATCTTTATAAGTTAGACCAGTTTGGGTGTAAGTTCCTGCTACAGCAGGAAGTAACCTAACTCATGCAGTGTCGCAGGGGATTCCAGAAACTGCTGAGGCTGTGAGGAAGTTGTGAGAGGCCTCACAGAGAACATTTTCCAAAAGCAGGCCTTAAGAACATGTTTCTGGACTGGTGGGTGTGCATGTGCTCAGCCCCTGCCCACACCAATAGTCAGGTTGCCAAGCCTGTGCACCCCTTCTGGTCCAGGTGAGCAGACAGGCAGCAGCTCCTGCCCAACCCCTCAGCTGTACAGGCAGACATGCACAGCCCCTACCCAGCCCTGCAGACATGCCAGAGGGTGTGCACAGACCCTCCTATAACAACAACCCCAACCTGCCCACCTGCAATGAACTGCGGGGTGGAGCCATGGCTGGAGAGTGAGACGCTGGAGCAGACAGGTTCTTCCATCTGCAAACACAGCACACAAGTGTTGAACTAAACAACTAGCCACCCCTAAGTCACAGCTCCTATATCCAGCATCTACGACCCTCTGGTGTAGAACCTGTGCAAGACGCCGGACATTCCATATTTTCAGCTGATATCTTCACATGACTATGTCCCCTGGAGGAGGATACCACCCTCTATGTAGAGTCTGAGAACTCAGGGAATCGCCCTCCTTTGTTTTGCAACAAGTTCAAGGGAACCCACTCACTCCACCCCTCATATGCGAATCACTAGAGCACATCACTAATCTCACCTGGCATCTGTAAACACAGGCTCGGAGACCCCCATGTCCCCCACCCCACTCGGTGTCTCTGAAACTATACAAAGTATTTTGTACCAAGTCCAACCAGAGCCAAATCCACTATAATCCAGTTGGCTAATATTAAAGGATGCAGTCCCAGGGAAATTAAAGGGTCAAATAAGCAAAAGAGAATCGACCAGAAACCCTGGAGATGGGGCTAGTCTATGCCATTATGGTTAAAGACTCTATGGTCAATCCTGTGGTTCAAATCTTGGACCTGGGAGTTTGAGAAACACACTGGGAACGTGTGCAATGCCCTAAATCTCAAAAGAATGGAGAGATGGAGGAGAAGGAATTGCAGCATGATTATTCTGTATGAGGGGTGCTTTCTAACTTTCTCTGGAAAATTCAAAAACAATAAAAAGAAATCCTAGAGATGAAGAATAGAATAGTGGAAATAAATTCTATGAGAGAATCAACAACAAGTTAGAGGATGAAGAAGAAAGAAATCTGTGAAGTTGTATACACAATTCTTGAAATAGCCCAAACTGTGAAAAAGAAAGAAAGAAAACATTAATAATGAAGATAATATATGGGAAATTTTGGACATCATCAGGTAATCACATAGCTGCATAATGGGTATCCCGGAAGGCAAGGAGATGGGAAAGTACATATAAAATCTTTCAGAAAATATTAACTGAAAACTTTCCAAATCTGCAAACAGAGACAGACACCCAGATACAGGGAATTCAATGGTATGAAAAGAGACAAAGGTCATATAGTTTAAAAGGAATCAACTCACCAAAAAAGATATAAAGATCTTAAATATGTACACATGCAACATTGGAGCACTCTAATGTATAAAGACTTAAGATGAAAAGGGAGATATAGACTATCACACTAACTATTGGGTATTTCAATGCCTCACTCTTCCCACTGGACATGTCATCTTTACATATGAAAAGAGACAAAGGTCATATAGTTTAAAAGGAATCAACTCACCAAAAAAGATATAAAGATCTTAAATATGTACACATGCAACATTGGAGCACTCTAATGTATAAAGACTTAAGATGAAAAGGGAGATATAGACTATCACACTAACTATTGGGTATTTCAATGCCTCACTCTTCCCACTGGACATGTCATCTTTACAACAAGTAAAATGCCTCACTCTTCCCACTGGACATGTCATCTAGACAAGTAAACCAAGAGACCCTGATGTGAAACAACACCATAAACCAGATGGACCCGACAGACATTTATAGGACATTTCACGCAGCACACACACTTTTTTCAGCTGCACATAGAGCATACCTTAAGATTGATCATATAATACAGCACACAATAAACTACAGATTTGAAAGGCTAGAAATCATATCTAGCATTTTTCCTGACCATAATAAAATTAAACTTGAAATCAACAAAAACTTTTGAAAAAGTACAAATACATGAAAACGAAACACAAAGCTCCAGAATGACTTCAGACCTACTGAGGAAATTTAAGAATGAAATTTTAAAAATTTCTTGAAACAGGGAACCAGTAATTAGCGTAATGTCTATGTCGCTGGACTCCCACGTTGTCGACCGTGGTTCGCATCCTGGACCCAGTGGCTTAGAACTCACGCCGGGCGCGTGTGCGTGCGTGCCCAGGATCCTGAGGAGAATGGAGGAGAAGGGATTGCGGTGTGACCATCCCCCCTGGGGGGTGATTTCTTGCTTTCTGTCTCTATGTCCCTCTCTGTCTGTCTGGCGTGCGCATGTGCCTATGGCGAAAACCTCTCCAAAAAAAAAAAAAAATTCTTGAAACAATGATAACACAAATACATGATTCCAGAATCCTTGGCATACAGTGAGAACAGTACTAAGAGGAAAGTGTATAGCAATTAGCACTCACGACCAAAAAATATAAAGACAGCAAAAAAAATTTTAAAAAGCAAAAGCAACCTAACAAAGTATCTCAAGAAACAGAGAAAGCAAAAACAAGCAAAACTCTTTTCAATGTAGATGCTTTTTATTTTATTCTCTTGTCTGATTCTATTGGCTAAGACTTCCGGTGCTAATTTGAATAGGAGTAGAGAAAGTAGACATCCTTGTCTTGCTCTAGTGTTGAGTTTCCAACTTTTGCCCATTGAGGGTGATATTAGCTATGGGTTTATAAGACCTCTATTGTGTTAAGAAATGTACCCTCTGTGTACATATATAATTATATCCTTTAGCCTTTAATCATGAAAGGATGTTGTATTACATCAAATGCTTTTCCTGTGTCATAATGTTTGTCTTTCCTTCTTTTAATGTGATCTATTATGTTTATTGTTTTGCATATGTTACACTATCCTTACATCCATGGGGTAAATTGTGCTTGGTCGTGATGAATAACCCTATGAATGTGTTGTTGGATTTAGTATGCTTGTATTTTATTAAAGAATTTTGATCTGTAATTGTCATGAATATTAGTATATAGTTTAGTTTTTGCTGGTGTTATGCCCTTGTCTGTTTTTGGTATAAGAAATTTATGATGGTGGCTTCATAAAATGTCTATGGGTATATCACATTTTATTTATCCATTCATAAGTTGATGGACATTTGGATTGTTTCTATCTTTTGCTATTATGAGCATTCATTTACAAGTTTTTGTGTGGATTGTTTCCATTTCTTTTGGGTTTATTCTCAGGAATGGAATTGCTGCGTTAAAAGGTGATTCTATGTTTAACCCTTTGAGGAACTTTTAGACTGTCTTCCAAAGCAATTGCACCATTTTACAATCCCATTATCAGTGTGTGAGGGATCCATGCTTCATACACCCTCTCCAACTCTTGTTACTAGAACTGGGTCTGAAAGGTGTACAAACTCCCAGCAACTTTGGTAGACTTACTGGGACCTGGAGTGACTCTTTCCTGGCTGATCCATCAGACATATGCCTCCTTCTTCAAAGGTTCTGAATTTACTTCTCTGACTTAATCTCAGTGGGGAGCCTCTGGTAGCCTTAGAATCACTGCTTAGAGTGACTTTTGTACTTTTAGGATTGGAGTAGATCCTGTTGTATGTTGGCATAGAACACCATAGCCCCATGGGGTGACTCTAGAGAGGACCTGAAGTGCTCTGGGTGTGACCTGTTAGCTCTGTGGACATCATGATGTGATGACAGAGGGCACAGCTCATCCCAGTGCCTGGATGGAGCGAGAAGCCCCAGATGAACAGATGCTAAGCCTAAAACATTGGCCAGGAATTATTGGAGAATTCCATTTCTGCATGTAGTCTTTCCTGCATATAATCAGGATTTGATGGTAGCTGTATGGGCCCAAAGAACAGGGCTGTTTTGCACGTACTGTGAAGAATTCCATGGCAAATGTATGCTGAACCATCCAGCCTGGATGGAGCGAGAAGCCCCAGATGAACAGATGCTAAGCCTAAAACATTGGCCAGGAATTATTGGAGAATTCCATTTCTGCATGTAGTCTTTCCTGCATATAATCAGGATTTGATGGTAGCTGTATGGGCCCAAAGAACAGGGCTGTTTTGCACGTACTGTGAAGAATTCCATGGCAAATGTATGCTGAACCATCCACGTTCTCCCAAAAAGGGGGGCCTGCCACTTTCACTGAGGAAGGTCTTGAATGGCTTTGAATAGCCTCAGAATGCCCAGACTATCCTCCCCTTATTCATGATGGTTGCTTCCCTGAGGTTTTGTGTGGAGTCCACCGTTATGCCATTTGGGGAGTCTTCAGGGTCACCAGAAAGGTTAGAAATGCCCTGATTGGAGGCATCAGGAGAAAGGGGAAAGTGGAAGTTGAGTCATGAGAGGAGAGCAGACCTGGAGGGGCATCTTGGGTATGTCCATTGCACGCCAGGTGCTCCTCTGTGAGCTTTGCCTGGGGTAGACCAGTAACTTCTTCAACGGTCCCAGGAAAATCATTTTGTGGCTGAGGAAAACGTGGCTCAGAGATAGTTGGTTACCTGTCCCGATTTTCAGAGCTGGTACGTGGCACGAAAGGAGACTGGCATGTCAGTTTGCTTCCTCAGGGAGATGATCTTGCCCCAGGAGCCAATCGTCATGGCGGCACCTCAGAACAGATGGTCCTGAGACAAGCAGGGACTGCCAGAGTCCATGTGTCTGGGTTAGGATCTTGGCTCTGCAAAAAAGCAAAATGACCCAAGACCGGGTTCTCGGCCTCGGCACTGCTGACGTCTGGGCTGTGGACCCTGTCCCGTGTGTCACAGGGTGGTGAGCAGCATCCCTGGCCTGTGCCCATCAGATCTCCCCTCTTCCTATCGTGACAATTGTGAGTGTCGCCAGACATTGCCACATGGCCCTGGGGGCGGGGGGTGAAAATGGGCAAATCATCTCTGGTTGAGAATTGCTGAGTTAGACAAAAACCTGGAACCTCTGCTTTATCATCTGAAGAATGGGGATAATCATAAAACGTGCTAATCCCTGCAAGATTGCAATGAGAATCCTATCAAACAAGGGCCTCAGAAGGCCTGTGTAATCTATAAAGCTTAACACAAGTGTAGGCTGTCATCCCGACTGCGAGAACTAGAACCTGGAGTCGAGAGGCTCACCGAGCAGTCAGTATTGTTAGCAGCCCCAGGCTCTTCAGGGCAGCCGGGCGTTCTTACGTGGGTGAGGGACTGCAGAGGTTTGGGACCAGCAAGTTTGGGAGGATGTGGTCACAGCCCTCTCTTGGGGCTCCATTCAGCGCATGGATAGTGTGGGTGGTGAGGTCCCTGAGTGAGTTTGCAAGAGAAGGGGCAGGAGAACAGGGCTGAGCACCCAAGGCAGGGAGTGGGGCAGAGGGTTTGGGGGCTCAGGTGGAGGGACTGAACTGGTGTAGAAGGCTTTGTGAGCCTGGAGACCAGGACGGTGTTGCAGACTGGGAGAGGGCAGGGCAGGACTGAGACAAGTCGGGTCTGAGCTCTCGGAAGGAAGCTCGTGGGCCTAAGCACCGAATCAGTGCTCTGGGATCGGCGAAGGTTCACGAAGCCCTGGTGGGTGGGCTGCTGGAACTGCTGCTTTAGTAACTACACTGTGTGTTCAACGGAGGAGCAGCAGGGGTCAGAATACCGCTCACGGCCGAAGCTCACGGCCTGAGCAAGAGCGTGCTGAAGGACTGTCCCCGGGGGAGGGTGCATCCAGAGGAGGAGAAGAGGAAAACGATCCAGGTGACTCCGAGCCAAATTTCCCAATTTGAAATTGGCTTCACAAGTGTCTAAACCTGGAGTTTATGAAATAAATAACAGTACCTTTCATGTCTTCTTCTAATTTTTTGAGAGGTTTTCGCTATAGGGCGTGTGTACTTGCCAGAAAGACAGAGAGACAGAGAAACAGAAAGCGAGAAATCACCCCCAGGGGGGATGGCCACTCCGCAATCACTTCTCCTCCATTCTCCTCTCGGGATCTTGGGCACACACGCACACGTGCCTGGCGTGAGTTTTAAGCCACCGGGTCCGGGACTCGAACCGTGGTCGACTACATGGGAGTCCAGCGACATAGCCATTATATCAACTGCTGGTCCCATCTTCTTCTTTTTTAATTGCCAGAGGGCATGTGTGTTTGCCAGAGAGAGACAGAGAGACAAGGAAGGGGAGAAATTACCCCCTGCCTCAGGGCATAGCCATGCTGCAATCCCTTCTCCATTTCTCCAACCCATTGGGATCTGAGCATGTGCCTGGTGTGTTTTTCAAGCCACTTAGAGCAGAATTCAAAGCACGGTTGGCCATGTGGGATCTGGCTCCCCAACCATGCAGTACACCCAGGGGCCGGCCTTTCCCCTGTGAGGCGTTGTGCACAACGAGTGCGTGCCATGCAGTCCAGCAGGGAGCGGGCATCTACTAAACACATCCCGTCTGCAGCTTCCTCTGCTCAGCCCATCTCTCCCCTGCGGGAGGAAGTCGCTGACTTTATTGTTTCCATTTTACCAATTTGGAAAGGGAGGCCATGGGGGTAGAGTTCCAGAAGCGCTAGGTGATAGGCCTGGACATGGCTCTCACCTCCCAGTTCCAGCAAGACCTGGAGGCGCCCACATTGCTGTGACATCAGTCCCAAGGAGCCTGCTGGTGCGCTTGAGGACATGGCATCCAGAGACTCAGCAAGGTGTCCTTCAGGGAAGCAAGGCTGACCCTCAGGTGCTTCAGGAGACCCATCCCGCCCACGTCTTCCACCCCTCCGTCTGCCACCCTGAAGGGAGACAGGTGGGGACGGCGCCTCGTGGGAGCTGCAGCCTCCCTGCACACGCCGTCCCTCGTAGTCTCCTGGCTTCATCTCCGACTTCCTCTGAGTGCTTCCTCTGAGCACCCCTGAGGCCCGTTACTGCCCTAGGCCTGTGGCTGCCTACCGGTACTTCCTTTGGTCTTACCCTTGACACCAGTGTTTCAGTGTGGTCACCCGGGAGCCTGCCGTCCTCCAGCTCGAACCACGACCCACTTACCTGGAGTCCTGACGCAGGCGAGGGCTGCAGACGCTGGCATGGCAGGCCTGGGGTGGCTGCCCGGGTCCCCATCAGCCCTAGGCGGTAGGCCCTGGATCTGCCTTTATTTCCTCCAAGAGAGACAGAGAGACAGTTCCCCCAACAGGGCCCGGACACTGCGTCCACCCCTGAGCTTGCAGCCAGGGGCCTGGCACATTCGAGCAGGTCTCCAGGCTTGAACTGGGAGCCTTCCTGAGTGGGACTGGCTGGCAGAGTTTCATGTTTACTGCTACTCCACCATCTGGCCCCTGGAATCTGTCTTCCCCCACCCCCAGTAATTTTAATTAAATTAAATTAATTAATTATTTTTGCTTAATTTGACCAGAGAGGGAAAGTGAGAAAGCAAGACTCCAGGTCTGAGACTTGAACTGCAGTCAGCTATGTGGCAGTCCAGTACCTTAGCCACCACGCCTGCCACCTGCCAGCCCCAGAATCTGCCTTTTTAACAAGCATGCCATCTGCCTAAAGCACACCAAAGGCTAGAGCTGGGGGCTACGATGTGTATTTATCTCCTGAGAAGCTTCGGATCTCTTACTCTCCCCAAGTACGAGGTGGGACCCGACCGGGCTCCTCTGGCAGCTGCCCGGCTGTCGGTTACAGCACAGGCTGCCCCGGCCCTGTCGCATGTGGGCTGTGCTGAGGCTCTGCACTTCACTCCTGCTCTCAGGAGCCACCACCTGCCCCCTCTCACTGCCCACGCAGTGACAGAGCAGAGCCTGGAGCCGCGGAGGCCCAGCTCACCGCCCCCACCGCAGACGGCCTGCAGCCTGCACACTAATGAGTACTATTTCTACCCGGCTCTTCTAAATGCTGCAATATTAACACTTACCAGAATAACCCGACGCTCGGCAGTGGGCTGGCTTCACCCTGCAGGGACGCCGCGGCCGCTGTGTGTCTGCCTGTCGCCAAGACCCCGTTTTCCAGCTTCAGCTCTCGTCACTCCATTGAAAACCCTGCCCTCTGCCATCTTTTCTGTTCGGGAAGTCAAAGGCAAATGTTCCGGGCTCAGTCAGGGACGCCCCCGCCCCATGTGCTCTCTGAGCGTCAGGCGCCCCACTCGGCCACGCCCCGTCT